AGTACATTTACATACATTTACATATAATATTGTGCGGTCTTGACCTCAATACTTAAATTATTCAAACGATTTCATGTAATAAATAATATTCTGGTCTTAATGTTCATATTTACATTAGCCAGATCATGTTGTATGATATAAAAAAAACCTTAATATTTGTTGTTAATCTGGTAAATTTGTATGTTATGTAATATTGTAGGGGCTTTACTTTATTATTTAAAGTAGTTTGGTAGATTTGACCCTAATATTGTCTGGTCTGAACATTCGTGTTGAATTTATTCCGATAATTTTGTGTAGTAGATAATACTGTTTGCTCATAAGCCTAATATTAAAACTGATCAAACAATTGTGTGTAATAAATAATACTGTTTAATCTTAGGCTAAATATTTCAATTATTCATGTGAATTTGTACAATAAATAAAATTGTTTGGCCCTTAATATTTATTACTGTTCAGATAATTTTGTGTAATATATTGTGCTGTTTGTTCTTAACCCTAATCTTGTTGGCTCTTTACACATGAATATTCAAACCTGTCAGGTAAACTTGCAACATTAATATTGTGTCTCTACTAGAAAGCACTTTGGCTCAACATCTGATGTTTGCTACAGAAACAACAATGACTCCACACCTTTACTCTTCTATATATGACATGATGTTGTTCACATTTCAACTGAACAGACATCACTGAAAATCTCTGCAGCAGAAATCTAGAAGAGGAGAACCTGTGCTACAACCTACAATCACTGCTAGAAAATGTCAGGCCTCCAGCAAGTAACCTTGGCGTGGTTTTTCCTTTTTTCCTTTTTTTTTTTTTTTCTTTTTTGATGCTGATTTGAATTTCACATCTGAAGTAGTAAAAAAAATCCACCTTTTATCATCTCTGGGATATTGCCGATGTACAGCCCCGCCGTCTCCTGGGCAGATACCAGAGGAATAAAGCATTCTTTCATCACTCGCCGACTTGATTACTGCAAAGCTCTTTTTGTTCTGGCCTACTAAAGAAACCTTTCAGTTGTGAGTCCTTTAATGTTGCCCTGTTAAACATTTTGTGCAGCCAATGTTAACTCGGAGTGAAGAGAAATCGCTCATTGATCATTTTTCATTAATTCAGGATGGGATTGTTTGAAAGGTTTTAATTGTACCTGTGGTCCTGCGCAAAGGTTTTAGGCACTTTGGGTGCTTGTCCATCATGCGTCTGATTCATTTTGCAGCATGAGAACAAAGAAAAGTCGCAATAAATGTCTTCGGTGACGAGAAGAACCTGCGACAGATGGTTCAGCTGCTACAAAACCCTGATCTCAAGTGAATCATGAAACTGTTTTTGACAGCATCCTTTACTTGTAGCGCCCAAAACAATACTGAAAACTCCCAGGGGACCCTAAACACGCCACTGTGTGTTTGTGAAGCATACGTAGGAGCGTACGTTTCTCCGAGGGGTCTCGCTCGGCACCGTCACTGCATTACCTAGATGTTACAGTCGCAAGCTAAGTGCTGCTATTTTAGTGCTGAGGTTGTTGGCAAACTGGCAGGACAAAAAAAAAAACGCACAGAGGGACGTCTATCATGCAACAAACGCGGCATCAGTGTGAGTTTCATACGGCGGTGACCTCGAGTGACTTTACATACCTGAGAGGGGGGTTTTGAGTGCGTGATGAATAATTGAGCGACGCCAACATGTAAAATTGATGAGCTTTACTGTAAATTTCATGAGGACATTTTGTGTTCTCCCGTGGTTTCCCTCCCCAGTTTCAATACCAAAAAGTCTCTCAAAACCGCGCCCTCTATTTGCTCCGAGCACAGCAACACATGTACCAGACCCGAAGCCAAGCAGGTACTGCACCTGTTTTTTTTTTTGCTTTTTTTTTTTTTTTTTTAAAAGTCACTCCGCCGACTCCGTGTCAGATGAAAAACTCAACGTTCGCCATCAAATCACTCAATGGACCGGCACATAAGTACATGCCAGACAGGCTTTTAAGAAACGTCGCTTCTGGATTTGTTTGCTCCACTGAGACTGACTTTCATGTACTGTAGCTCCGTCGCCCAGAACTAAGACCTATGTGGAGGCGAGTTTAGGTTGACAAAGAGGCACATTTTGAGTCTCTTTATATCCGCCCGCCGCAGCCTGCCAGTTGGGTTTTCACTCGCACACGAAAACACGGGGATCTTTTTTGATCTCTCCATTCAAATCCCAGCGATCTTGAGTGACTGGGTGATTGTATTTTGTTTGTTTCACCTCCTTATGTGGCTTTTTCCGCCTCTTCTCCATCAAACAAAAGAGGAGGCAGGTAATCATCCATAAACAGCACAGTTGGATTTGAATTGGCTCTAACAACCTCTCTTGTGCTCCTACAATGTTCAGAATGTTAAAAAAAAAAAAAAAGATATAAACTAGGGACCATATTGCAATGGGATCACACCAGCTGCAGCACCTGTCCTCGTCTTCTTGTGGAATAAAGTAGTAATTACCACATTGTTAAACGGGTACTCTCCCGTTAAACCGCATCTATCTTTAAACTCGACTTCATTATTGCACACTGGTAGTTTTTCTTTATCTTGCACAGTTGTGGCTCTACTGTGTTGGCATAATCTGTACAAAAACATACAGATAAACACAAACACATGCTTAAAACTGCCTTTTCTGTAGTTCAAATTGTCCAAAATTTTGTCACACAAACACTGAAACAATAGCAGCCTCGCAGCTGTTGCACTTGACATGGCAGGTTAAAAAAAAATACTCGGGGAACAAAGGGAGACGACTGCACTCACTCGACGTGATGGACGTTTTCGCCACCTTTCTGCCACACGTAGGTCATGTTGGGGGGGTCGGCCACCGCCTGGCACCGCAGCAGTGCATTCTGGGACATGTTGAGAGAGGTGCTTTTCGGAGGCACAACAATGACAGGCGGACCTAGTGAGAGGAACAAAAGCACAGGTTAGAAAATGCATCGAATTAGCAAGATTGTTCTGCATAAATCAACTGATTGTTTAGCAAATTGGAAAAAACTTCCATCGTGACTGAGAGAAACTTTCTCTGAACAGACCCTCGAAAAGTTCCTCTATCGGTGCTCGAATCAGATGTCAAAAGAACTGAGTCAGTGTGACGGCAGAAGATGTGAGAAGAGTTGCTTTATGTCATATCTTAAATTAGGTAATGCGGTAATGAGGTCAAACACCCTTTACAGCCGGCTGAATGGACCAGCGTCATGCAAGTCGGCGGTGGCATGCAAAAGCTGTGAATAGTTAAACAGTTGCTTAGCACTCTGAAAATTCAAATAATTGATGCCCACACGGCAGGAGACGCCTATGAGAAGATTGCAAATGAAATGCAATTAGGAAACGGCTGTTAACAGGAAGAAAATAAGAGTAATGAGAAGGACCCGTTTCACAAAGACGTCTGCAAAGCCATGTCTGGATAAGCTATTTCCGGAGCAAGTGCAATAAGGAAGTGTAAGGTCGGAGAAAAATAGGTGCAGAATTTCATAAAAGAGCCCCTCAGAAAATGTGGCGCTGGAGGTGGCACAAGGGGAAGAATGAAATAGTGACGAACTCCGGGAGCAGACTTCACGCTGTCTGAGGAGGACGGCTTCTGTGGCAGGACAATGATCCGGGACACACCTTAAGGTTCACAATGGACGACCATGCTGCGACCCTCACAGTAACCCGACCTACACGCCACTGAAAATCTGAGAATAGAGCCAAAGAAACTCAGCCTTTAGCAAAGAAAAATGCGCTAAACAAGAACTGAGCTGCTCCAAACAGCATTTACAAGCCGTCATGCAAGCCTTTTTAAGTACTGACCATGCAGAGTCAACAAACTTTGACATTTTATAATTATTTTGAAACTGCAAAAGACGAAAGAAAAAAAAAGTAATCTTGCTTGAAATATTAAATAACTGTGCCATCTTTCACTTCAGGCATGCCTTTTTGGAAATTAGGTCATATTTTACTTGCTTAGTTATTCACAGTAACATAAATTGTGACCAGGAATGTCCAAGATTTCACCACCGCACCTCATTTTCCTTTAATTATCATAAATATGAATATTAAACCAGAAAAAAAAGAAGGCTGAGAGCTACACAGCTGAAAAATGACAGAAGTTCTCCCAAAAAAAGGCTCAAAATCCTTTCTTGTGACTCAATGCATGTCTAATACTCCACTCTTTGGCGTCTTCTCACTGTCCAAATGCATAAAGAGGATGCTTTTCTGTGCTACATGTGAGACTGAAAAGCGACTGGAGATCAATACATCAGCAGCTCGGTAACATATCACATAAAGTCAGCTACATTAAGCTGGGACTTTTGGATTATTTTGTCTCACACTGGTTGGAATCCGTCTCAACAGTTGTAATTCTAACAGCTGCTAAGAAATATACCAAACTCTTGTCTTCACGAGAGAAAGATGGAGACATTCTGCCATATAAAACATCCCCGCAATGTATATCTGAGGGAATTATCACTGCAATGTGTGCCAGTAAAAGTAATTACGAGAGATAAAGAGGTGAAAAGTGTGAAATTAAAATAGGGCCGAGCCAGATGGAGCTCGCCGGACTTTACAGGGAATGGATTGGTGGACGTCCAACAAGAATACAAAATACAAAACAAATATAATGCAGCAACAAAAAAAAGGAAATATAACAAAATCATGTAACTTAGGATCAATTTAATAATGAAAATAAATCCCCTGTAGCACTACATGAATGGTAAAGTAGTTAGAAAATGAAGAAATCTGGCACCAGAAACTGAATCTGAATGATTTATATTTGAATTCATATCATTTGAATTTGAATCAAAAATTTGCATTTATTAAATTTAAGCTGCATCCAAAAAGAAAAGAAATGAAACCACAAGTAATAGTTTGAAATAGAGTTCTTTTATTTTGAAATTGTGCTGAAAACTTAACTATCCAAGCACAAATGTCCCCCTGATGGGTCTCATCTAGCATAAATACACAACAGAGGGCATTTAAAAACACAGTGTGCTGCCTCCTGCTGATGTTTGTCTCGTGTAAATACAATAAGTTGCACTATAGACATCACTTCTTTACATGTTGCGGATTCACTCTGGAAAAGTTAAAGCAGCTGGGTAAGAAAAAGAAATGATTTTACAGGTGAGGACTCACACGATAAATGCAAACGGTGTGTAATTAGATATTGTCAAACATAATCTTTTTCGAAGCTGTAAAATATAATATTATAACAAACAGTAATATTCCTAAGACTCTGTGTTGTCAAATATAACCGTGTAATTTTCTTTGGAAACTAATCAAACGGAGCCGCCGCAGAGTCACGTATATCTGTTCGCTCCGCATGCCGACGCATGTGCAGGAAGCTAATAAAGGAGGCCTGACACACCACAGGTCTTATGTATAAACAGCCACATAATCTCCACAGCAGTCATTACTGATCGGGTTTTGTAATCTTCAACGCATGATGGATATAGCCGTGAGTGACAGTTTAAGGGGTTACTTGGGGCTTTTTTTTTACTCTGACTTCATCCAGATCAGCTATTAGTCGACTTTAATCCGTCCATGTGGCACCGCTGCAGCGAAAACTCAGCCAAAGCTCAGATAATGTGTGACTTAGACTTAGCAGTATTGGGGCAGCGTGTGCTCACCATGATTATTATTATTATTTATTATTATTATTGCAGATGTGACCACTGCGGGAAAATTAAGTGGAAAAACCTCGACGAGACTTTGTGCCAAAACAAAAATGTTTAGCCCCCCAAACGCACCACGCTTCAGCGGAGCCCTGGTTCTCCAGAGGAAAATCTGCAGTAGGAGTTGGAGTAGGAGTACGGGAAGAAGTCAGAAATAAATTCCACAGTGTATTATGCAGTGGTGTGTCGGTGTAATCCAATGATACACACTTGCCTATTTGCATATTCTCTATGCATTTGTCTTTAAACTGGACTGTAAGCCTTAAAACTTGTATCAATCTGCTATATGAGAACCAGGAGATACTGAAAATGTGGAAAAACTGTGATGTATTCGACCTCCTACCTCAGGAAACATGAATTAATTTGGGGGAAATATATCATATTAATGACCAAACAGAGATATTACTCATTTCAGCTCAGCTGCAGGAGCCTAACAAGCTCAGAGATGTCTCTCTCTGAGTAAAAAATGCAGCCTTTGAGCTGAGGGGAAGAAGAAGAAGAAAAAAAAAAAAAACACACAAAGCTTCATCACGATAACGCGACGCCCCGAAAAATCCCAGATGATATCTTGTCTCATATCATGATACTGAAAAAATGTGACAAAATAAGAGTTAAATTCGGTGTGAGTTTCTGTTACCGCTCTGTCGTATGATGCAAGAGGGAGAAACAGAAATGTAAATGACGGTGGCTTGGAGCCAGTCAGCCTCAGACTCATCACACAGACTGAAGGGACTGGCAGGCAGGAGAGACGGACGGACAGAAAGACAGCCCGATGGGCAACCACTGACCTTTGATCTTCACTTTTGTCACGCGAGTCACGTTTCCCTCAGAATTGGAGGCGTGGCAGGTGTACTGTCCTGCTGACTGCATGCTCACTGCTGGCAGAGATAAGACTCCTTCCTGGTAAATATGACACGACAGAGAGGTGGATGATTGCAAACAGCACAGACACACAAACACATGATGGTAGGTACATACGCCGAACGTATGGAAACTCCACACAACTTTAATTGTTGCATATGCAAAACTTTACACGCTCCGTGCCGCATGTCATTTGCATCCACATCTTGCTGATATTTAGCAAATCTTCTGTCTATCTGCACACTTCTCCCTGAGCCACTGGCTGCCACATAACCCCAAAGCAGAATATTTTCCACCCAATGCTTAACAGTTGGCAAGGTGCTTTTTTTCCTCCAAACACATCTTTGGGGGCTGAAATATTTTAATTTTTAATCTGCAACACAGCAAGCTTGATAACTACGCTTCTCAGAGAAATGCAGCGGAATAAAAAAATAAATTAAAAACAGCATTTTTGAACAAGAGCTCAAGTATTGCTACTCGGGTTTTTCATCTCTCACATATGTACATAAATGTTTAGGTAGCCCTGAGTATTTTATATATTTTGATCTTTTTTGATGTGTTTTTTGAAGCACACACACACATTAAAATTAGCCTGTTTAAACGCAGCAACCTCCAAATTTAGCCAACAACGAAACGCCAAAACCTGCAGTTCCTCGAACGGCCACTTGAGGCTGCCTCCAAACACACGCGTGCTTTAACACCCCCGTGTTAAAACGCCCCCACTTTACAGTCCAAATAAACACTTTCACAGCTCACTAAACTTTAAAATCGTAGTTCAGGAGTGATTTCACAAAGGGTTTGTCCATCTTCGTATACAGTCACTTATTATTTCATGAGCAAACAAAGGAAAATCTAAACCCCCATACGGTTCCGCTTTGATGGCTGTTCGTGCAGGTCACAGACTGAAGAATTGCGGGAATGTAACGAACACAGAGCCCACTGAGACATGCTTATGTGCAGTGCATCACCCCTCGCCGCTATTTTAAGGTTGACTGCTGATTGGTTGAAAGGTTGGCTGAAACAGAAAAGGGTAAAGGGTCATTTTGGCATCATGAACAATGCATGTGATTATAAGCGCTGCTCCTGACCGCTGATGCAGTACGCCTACTTGTCTCCAATGTTGATCCATTATTTTTATCACTCCACAGGGTTAAAATCAAAAGGATCAGCAAAAGCACAAACAGAAACAACAGTAGCCTCCGTCTGTGGTTGTTCTACATATTTTTGACACTGCCCCCAAGTGACAGCAAGGCTCTACATAGCATCGGTGCAAAATAAACGCAGTAGCATGTTTGCACCTTATAGTCCCCCCTCTAGCAAAAAATATCATGTGCTCTTACTTTGTTGACATGCACATATGTTAAAAGGGCAATTTTTTTGTAGTCTACATGACAAATTGTGAGCAAATTAAGCAGAACAGTAGAACATTTTCATCTTGAAATTTCAGCAAAATGATGAGTCTCAAAAACACAACATTAGAACTTCAATGCAAAACAAACCCAAGAAAATTTAAGGAACCCAAGTATGGGATAGAAAAACTTCTAAATATGGAATTTTGATACACAAAGATGCATTTTTAAGAGGTTAGTCAATGGCTGTAGAGACTGTAAAGGAAGTGCAGGAAGGTTTAGCCAGTTCAGCTGAAGTCCTGATGCACAAACAGGGTGGCTTTCGAAGGGTTTATGTGTCATCTAAGCAAAAGATTCACCACTGGAAGTCTGCAAAGCACCATTTAGAAAAGCCAATGTGGTTTTGGAAACTAGCTTTCACTGATCTCTCAATTACATCACCGATTTCTAAAGGGGCCCCACCAACTTTAAACCACTGAAAAGAGAAATCTCAAATGTGAAATAATCTAAAGTGTTGCAACTATTGCAGAAAATTGAGTGTTGAGCGACGCTCCATCATTTGCAGAAGAAGGTGATAAATGTAAATAAATAAATAGCACTTAGTTTTTCTTTTTTTTTCTTTTCAAAACTATCACATAATCTCCTGATTGCAATTATTTGAAATCATCATTTTTGCATAATCACCTTCATTCACCTTCATGAAACAGCCAGATGAAGCTAACAGAAACATCACATTTCAGTCAATATTTCTAGACTTTTTTTCCACCGTTTGCACCCTCTGATTATCCCTCAAAGTGTTTATCCCAAGGCGCTCAACTTCTAATGTTCCTCCGACTGCATTTCGATGAGCATCTATTGACACGAACATCATGGATTTAGTTGCAAAGTTCAGTCACAGCCTCACATTCTGGCTTTAAGCCCAATGAAAGAAGCAGTAACTTGAAGGAGCTTTTTGTTGGAGTTGCAGTAAAAAAAAGGTGTGAAAGGCCTTAATACCTCTGATTTAAATCTAATAGAGGCATACAATGAATAGAAAAAGACAATTAAATTGTTAATCACAGTTATCAGTGTGGAAATTAATCATAAATTAAATTTTCATTACTGCGACAGGCTGAGCTTAAAGAGGAAATACTTCACAAGAAAAGTCCAAAAATGAATAAACTATGGAAGAATCTAAAATAACTTTTCCTTTCTCCTATTGCATTAAACATCTCACAACTCTTCAGATTTATCTTGTGATCCTTTGGTCTAAAGTACAGAACATGACTGGACTCAAACAGTGAAATGCTTCTTTTTTTCCCAGTACTGCAGTTTAACAACTTAATAATGTCATAGATCAAAATATGTGAGTGACATTGTAATTGATGCTCAAAAGAGACGCATTAAAAATCCATATATTAACTTCACCGTTACATAAATGCTTCTATAGTTAGTTCACACATACCTGATAATTTACTCTTTGAATGGCACTGCCATCCTTCAGCCAGGTGATGGTTGGAGTTGGGTTGCCCTTAGCAACACAGGCAAGAGAAAGATGGCTGCCGACCAGAGCCTCCAGCACAGGGGGCGGGGCTTCGGTGAAGATGGGCGGAGCTACGGATACAAAAACAAAATTTAATCGTCTATTCAACTCCATCTAAGGAAAGTACTTTATGAACTAAATTACAAAATTGGAATCTTCAAATAGATTCGCCTCATTTAGGTGAAATAAAGTTGCTCGTGGCCAAAAGCACAAAACCAAAGACCAACGCTGTCATCCAATAAGAAAAAAAAACACCTCCAAAAGAGAGAAACCTGGACAAATAGTTCATCTCTCTCATCTTCCACTTTATTTTTAATGGCTTTATATACAGCATGACAGCAGCTCGGCCTTGTTTGTTAAAACAGCAGCAGCCTTTGCGCGCTTTCCTGACATCAAGATCCATTATTATTTCACACACCGCAGTGAAAGTGTCAGTTACAAACGCTGCCTTTTAGATCCGCTAACGTGAACGTTTTGCTGCCACTTTAAGCCTCAGATCTCATCAGAGACGATTCAGACAGATGCTTTCTTTTTATGTCTGTAAACACTCTAAACATAAACAAGCCACTTCTCCGGAGTTTTTTTTTTTTTTTTATTCTTATTGCACTTTTGTACCATAAATAACCTGATTTGTTTTTTGTACTCACTCACAAAACTTTTGCATGTTTTAGTCAAAGAGCAATATTCTCGTATCGCTGCGTTTCCAGCCTGCGATGGCCACTTACAGCCTTGTGTGTTGACAAAAGTGGGCAAACAATAGGTAAAGAGCATACCTGCAGGGCACGTCAACAACACTACATCCAAGGCCTACAGTACACAAGCATAATTTATTATCACTCCCATCTCTCGCTCGCACAGACCAGCTCGGTGAAACTGGCTTTGATCTGCCGCAAGCCCATACTTTGTTCTGTACTTTTAGCGCGTGGAATCGCAGCGAAGGTTTGCCAAAATACAGATAAACTTCAAAGCGCCGCAAAAAAATGATGCATATTTCATATTCAGATTCATTATTTAAGTCTATCAATAAGTATGATGATCACACCAGTCGGCAATTATTCTTTCCAAAATAAAAGGAAGGAAAACTCAGCAGTTATCCAAATTACCTGATCTGTTTAGAGAGGTTTTTTTTAAACAACATTTTCAAAGCTTTATAGAAGTGTTTTATATTCTGTATATATGTGGCATCTGTCAGAAAATGCTATATAAGCAGCGCTTTGAAGGATAAATGGTGAAAGAACACTAGCTATGTAGGAAATAATGCATAAGGTTGTTGCTGTTTCATATTTAAATCGTACAAACTGTGTAATGAGGCCGACAAACAGAAGTCTTGTTCAAATTTCCATCCTATAAATCAATAAATGATGGACTTTGGAAGCAACAAGCAGGACAAGCAGGATCGACGCTGTACTTCTGAAGGGCAGAAAGTGGCTCCTTCACAACTCAACTTAAGAAAAATGACCTGCTGTCAAATCATCTTTTCTTCATCTGTACCAGCGGTTATGAGAAAATGAGGGACCGGAGATAAGATGATTTCAGGCTAAGTAGGTTTTTGAAACCGGCCATCTTTTGATGCAGCTGCAGGTTTATGCAGACCTGCTTTACTGAAATTATAATTAATTTCTGCTGATAAACAGATCAAAGACTGTATTTAGGTTTTATTCATGTTTCTGTCCTCCAGTGGTGATTTTTTTTTTTTTTACTTCTGACTGACCGACTGCTGTGTTTCACTGGGCGAATGTCTGTGGCACTAAAAATAGCGTGTGACCCAGAGGCAGTTAACCAGCGGTGGGGTCAACATTGTTAGCTAGACTACAGGCCTGACTACATGCTGCTGTGAGTTTTGACATTCTGGCCATTTGCCACTACCACAATTGCGGCCATTAAAAGAGGAAGCTGATGCTGGCTTGACCTGCCACCTTCGTATAATGTGGGATAAACACAGCCGGTGAATCACTGGGGTGGTGATACAGCATGGACTAAATGTGATGCCTGCAGGGGGAATCTGTGGTAATCTTAACAAACAGAAAACATCTGATCAAACAAAGTGTCAAAACAAGACATTTAATACCTGCATGTAGTAGCTGCTCGGGTTCATTTTACAGGCAGAACAAAAGGCGTATTGGTAACAAAAAGAAGCATTGAGCTTCGATTCGTAGCCTGAGGCCGGCTTTGCTTTGCTGTATGTAGCAGAATTTACACCGATGACTAAAGGTGATCCAGCCAGTCTACCTGACTGACACACTAGACCAAATGTTATTTGTCATCCCGTCCGTTGTTTGCTTCTGGATCACTGGTTTGTGTGATGAAGCTGCGATGATAAAACCTCCCATTAAGACACGCACAGATGCACAGCGCTCCATTAACCTCACCGGTTACAGAAAGCAGAGTCCAGGTGCCGTTTCGCAGCTCGTCCGTGGGTTTGTCCAGCAAGAGGATTCGACACTCGTACGGGCCCTGGTCGTCCAACTGCAGCCCCTCCAGCCTCAGGGCGGTGATTCGGACCAGAGACACCCGACCTGCAGGGGCACAACACAGGTAAAAAAAACAAAAAACAAAAGGTTAGAGGGGAGCAGGAGGGGAGGCCGGCTGCATGTGATTCTGATTTCACTTGTCATCTCGCAGGTCTGTGCAGCTGCCGGCGTGTGAACATCGGCGTCCTCGAATGTTGCCTGAAAACGAGCACACGGCAGCAACACGCACAGACGAGCACACGGAGCGAGAGCACACATGCGTGCACAAACTTGGAAATCTGATCTCCTGGTTGCCAGGTGACGGCTCCTCCGAGCCGGTGCAGCTCGCAGCATCAAGTCTTTATGTTTCCCAGCCTCGCATCTTTCTGTGTCCATCTAGCTTTCACACTTTAGCGGACAGGCGGCGGCCCAGTAAGCCGATAGCGCCGCGAATGAAAGCGTTACGACACGGTGACTTTTTCTCTGCAACATCTCAGGAATAAAAACCATGAAAACGGCAGAATGGAGGCCTCAGTAGCTCTGGGATGTCTGTGTTATGATGGTAATTATTAACTCTGAACGGAGGCCTGACAGTCAAAGGAAACCAGGAAGTCAGAGTTAGGCATGTTGGCAGCGATAACACACCCTATTTACTTTTCCAAGCCGCCAAAGGGGACTAAATCCACATGGGGGAAAAGGGAGGCGGGGGTTAAAGTAGAGCAAAATACACATCAGCATACACTCTGGGGATTTGTTCGCTTCAGAATCCTACCCTTTGACCCCTGGCAGGTTTTTTTTTTCCCCCTCCTCTCTCTCTCGTGTCTTTACTGGCTCAGTGTGATATAGGTCAGTGTAGCACCTTAGAGGAAAGGTTGTGCCGAGGCGGGGATGTTGCAGGAACGTGACCGGGAGTCATCGGATACGAGGGGCGGAGGGGCGGAGGGGTGGGAAATAAGAGCGCGATCTAACGAAACAAACCGTCGCCGCTTGAAAAATGCATGACAGCGAGAGCTTTGAATGCGAAGTAAATTGAGTGTGAGGCCGGATGAGCGGCGCAACACAGAAGCAGAAACACAGACAGGGGAAATTAAGACTTTGGCTTTCTCTCAACACACCTAATCTATGTCTGACTGTTTGTGCTTGGCCTGTCTGAAAGTGTAAAAACAAGCGTGCGTATGCATGGGAAACAAGCTTTAGCGAGTTGTCGGCGTGACAATAAAAAAAAAAAAAAAGTATGAAAATGAGGTAAGTTTAAACTTTGCGTTGTTGGTGTGAATAAAACAACAGGATTTCCATGTCGTGTTTCACACAAACTCACCCCTGGCAACCAAAGAAAACTTAGCACAACTGTCTAGTGGTTGTCAAATGGAGTTTTTCATAACTGTTGAATGAATTTTCACTTTGTACTGCAGAATATGCAGCACTAATGTTGGTTATATTGCTAATTTTCATTGCATTTGAATACACCGCGCTCTTATGAAGATGTACTTTACAACCAAATTACTTTTGGTGATGTTGTGGCCCGTTTCCTGTTTCGAATAGAATAGAATAGAATGTCTTTATTGTCACTATACACATGTACAATGAGATTAAGAGCAGCTCCTTCAGTGCAATATAGATTTCAGCATTTCAAAAAGACATTCATTCCCCAGTTTATGGTGAAGCAGCTTGACTGACCTGGATTGAAGCCTGACGTCACCCCTATCTAAAGCTAGTGGCCACACCTTAGCAGCTAACGTCAGTGTAATGTTGTTGTGGCTGAATGGGAGCAAAGGAAGCATCATAAAATCCCTCTCTGGTCGATGATTAAACCTCTAAAAATTTATTAAAGTTATACGGTTGAAATCAGATGTCTACATACACTGTATAAAAAGACACATGACTTTTTTTTCCCCATTATCTGACATTAAATCTGATTTTTCTTGTTTTAGGTCAGTTAGGATTACCAACATGATTTCTATTTGCTAAATGCCAGAATAATGAGAAAGAGATTTTTTTTATTACTTTTTTAACTTCTGACTTTGAATTGTATGACTTGGGTCAAACGTTTTGGGTTTCCTTCCACAAGCTTCTCATAGTTGGATGAGTTCTGGCCCATTCCTCCTGATGGAACTGGAGTCAGGTTTGTTGGTTTTGTGATGGCAACTCCAAAAACATTCAATCTTCTTACACATTGTATGTAAACTTCTGGTTTCAACTGTATATTTAGCTGCTTTTTCCCCCATAAAATCATCATTTCTTGCCTTAAAATGACTTAGACACTAATTCTGAAGAAGAATGTTGATGCATAAAATTCCTTCCTGCAAGATGACACGATTGATTCTTTAGGTTTCCTCCATATAAAACCTTAAAGGTCTAAATCTGTGCTTTTCATTCAGTGCACCATCAAGATGGAAATGCTCAGCCATCGTTTTAACTGCTTCTTTCACTCATGATGTGTCTTCCAGAATAGGCAAAACGCCGCATGGACCATATGAACAAGGTCAAAGCATTAACTGGAGGGGATCTTTCATGTAAGACGTTCAAGACAACAAAGCATCTGGCCATGTAGTGTACTTGTATTCCGTCAAGCCCGTGCTCTGCATCCTTGAGTGCATGAGTGTTCGTCGCCTCCACAAGTCCGTGAAAGGCTACACAGATAGCTCCACAAGAAAAACTCCGTGTCCGCACAACAGTGTGCACATTCTACACCTGGTTCTACCCTTGAACAACACACTGCTGGGCTTTGTGTTAAAGCGCAATTGTTAACAACATGGAGAATGAAAGCACATCACCGCAACAGGGACGAGACCTTATTCAGCATCGAGGGACAGAGCAAGTGCAACAGCTTTTACAATATGTAGAAACTCTTTTTCTCTTTGGCCTGTTGTAAATAGGTTGTACGTCAAAGGTACATTTTTGTCGTGCCATGTTGAGTCCATCTTTGCTAAAACAAAATGTCTTAAACCAGAGGTGTCGAACTGCGGTCCTCGAGGGCCGCAATCCTGCATGTTTTAGATGTTTCCTTCTTCCAACACACCTGATTCAAATGATCAGCTC